GGGCCATTACTCCGGAGACCCTCGGAACCTGCTGTGTTTTTGCTGCTTGTTTTTTGTTTTTGTTTTGTTGTTGAGATGAGACACAAGCGCGCCTTCGCCCCTTGTGCTCACTCTCATCTAGCACCCATCAAAGCCTGACCAGGGAGTCAGTTGATAAGAACATCTATCTGCATTTCTCTTTCCAAAGCTCGCTCGGGCCTACCGATCTCACAGCAGTGTAGTCCAACCTCCGTGATAGAGCGGTGACAGCAGTGTAACCTCTGTGGTAGACTACAAAGTCTACGAGCTACAGCGGCACTGCCACCTCCGCTGCTGCAAGACGCCACATTCTGTGAGATGTTATACGTAATTTACCCCTATTCCTACCTTCGTCGTGTCTTCGGGGGCACCAACCTCTGTCTTTTGCGAGGTTTCACTTCATTTCTCTTTGCTGAGGTTTTCCCGAAGGACAACGAGCACCGCTATGCAGATAAGAGTGTAGACTATATAGTATGCCTCGACGGAGAGTTCGAAAGAACGCCCCAATTCGGGAGGGTTGGGGAACTCACGCTTGGGGATCCCCCTGAACGTGTATCGGTGAAGAGGTGCGGGGTATCCGACATGACCCATGTCTGAAATATTCGAACAATCGTGCACACCCACCGGCCAGCCCATGCCTCGACTTTTGCTCCTCTTCCTTCTGCAGGTGTCAGCGGAGCTCGCAGGGTCCGCCCACGCCCTGTGATTCTCCGACCGCAATATGGGCTTCTTCAAACTGTTTGGATCGGTGCTGCTTTCGATCGAGGTACGCGTTGCGGTGAATCTATTCATGCGGATTTTGTCAACAACACGCGTTATTGTTCCGACAATAAATTGACTCAACGCGCCCACCGGCATCTCCGTTGTTGTTGGATTGTTTCGTCAGCCTCTTTGTCTCTCCCTTCGTCTCTCGCGCAGTATTGTTTCTGTCTAGCCATACCCATGACTTGTTTAATGTCATCGGGTGCAATAATCTTACTCATGCACGTCCGATTCGACGAATACCCCGTCGTCGAGGGACTCATTGTTTCCGTGTGATGATGTAGTCAAGCGTAGTCTTATTCCGCGAAATGTTCCTCGGAAAAACACCTGTCGTTGCCTCGCCAAAACCGGTTTTTCCTCTCCCTTTATCCAGTCGTAGTAGAATTCGATAGTCCGCTTCGTTAGGTGGTTGATGATGAAGCTGACCTAAAGAGTATGGAAGACAACCATAGATTGGTTGTGCATGGATCAACAAACCTGGGGTTGGACTGTGATGGTTCCCATAGATACGAAAAGTGCCACTTCTTCGCACTATTATTGTGCCGCGGTCGTTGCCTCGATACGAACGCATGTGGGTGATGATTCGACGTAGTGTGTAATAAACAGAACGACACCCATCCCCTGCGATATGTACATTTCCTGGTGGACGAACGCGTAGCCCAGAACACATGCAGCAACGGCCTCATTGGGGTAGAATGAGATGGAATCTGCTGCAACGTCGACTGCGGCACGTGCGGTGGGAGCGACTGTCAAGACAGAGGAAACGGCCTCGAAGCCGGCGACTGCTGCAGAAACTATATCACCAATCATGGAGCCCTGTGCTCGGAGAAAGCTGCTGCACCTTGCATCATTGATGACTTGAACGGTGAGTAGGGCCGGTGTAATGGCCTCAGCAGTACATATGTCGAAGCGAAACGACACATAACAGGGGTGATTTCCGTTCGTGCTTGCTACTGTAGCCCAAATATCAATATTATATCACACATCCCAAGAGGACTACATGTAGAAGGGACGACCCAACGACGACGTTCCCGGCGGAAGCAGTCTTTGCTCGCTGTGACACACACAGCAGTTGGTAAATGCCACGTGTCATTCCCTACTCCAAAATCCTGCCGTATGCATTCACAGCCTGCACCCTTCACGGTGTGCGCTGAAGACGGGCTGAATCGTGATTATACTGTTAGTTTTTGTCTTTCGGCAGTCATAGCGTGAAGCCCCTGGTTTCATGTCCAGACGATCTTGGGCCCTTACTAAAACACACGAAGGGTGCACCCGATTTGATAACTTTCCCTTAAAATAACCACTTGCTTGGTGGTGTACCAGCTCTCGCAAGACGCAGTATTCCTTAAGGTGACCTTCAGGATCAGACCAAGTGCTCTCCCGTCTGAGCTCTGTACATTAACCTTAAGCATGTAGTGTGACCCCGTGCGTTTGTGGGGACGAATGACAAGCGCCACTAGACCGCTCTGCTCTCAACGCCTTAAAACACATCTCCTCACGCCTGGACACCGACGTTTCCCTGTTGTGTCTCTCGCAGTTGCCGCGATTTCTCTCGGCCGCCACAGATGGGGTGGGTGAACCACTCAACACGCCTGTACCGTCAAGACACATCGACCTCTGCTGGGTTTGAAGTTGACGTTGGGGTTGACTACATGAATGGTGGTGTAGATTACCTCACGTATTTATCCACGTGAAACAACCCTAGGTTTGCTGCTTCCTATTGAGGAAAGGTGTGAGCTTGTGAATCCTGAACAATGCTCTATAAATGCGTGGGGGTGTATGGAGATGAAGCAAGCAACTGGAACTGAAACAAATTCTGCCATTGTTGTCATTGTTGTGCCATCACAACTCCCGCTTTGTTGAGACGTGGTCGTTTTAGTGAGTTACAGGACACTAGGTTGTTAAATTTGAATATTGGAATTCACCACGACGATCATTTCGAAATAGCTGATGTGGTTTCGAGCAATATCCACCTCGTTATCATTGTCGCTGTCGAGGTACAGCATCCGTTTCGCCATTTTCTCTATGAAAAGAATATCAAATGTCACAACTACAAGTCATACTTCATCATCCTGGCCGAACGTTTCACTCAAGAAACATCGGAGGCTGACCACGACGACGCGAAGTGCAGCAACGGCTTTGTCGGGGTAGAATCAGAGAACATCTGCTGCCATGCACACAGACTGCGGTACGTGTGGCGGGAGCAAACATAGAAGGAAAGGAAACGGCCCCGGCGACTGCTGTATAAACTATATCAGCGAGAACGGAGCCCTGTGCTCGGGGAACGGTTCTTCTGCGCCTTACATCATGGATGACGTGACCGGCGAGTCGAGCCGGCCGTATGCTGACGCTAAGACTGACAGCAGGGCTGCCGACTATGTCGTTCGTGCTGTCTTAACGCCGGAAGATTTCTCTCTTCGAATACGACTTTGACCGTGAACTACACGCGCGACGGAGGCCTGGCGAGCTCCGGGCATGAATATTACTGTGCCGACGAGCCTCCTGCGTGCTCGCCCTTGAAAAGGAAGCGCGAGAATACACTCCCAGCCGGAAGAGAGAGAAATGCCGAAGCCCAACCAATGACATAATCTTGTCCAGGGATGCAATATATATACATACACGGTCTACCTTCGGGACGGGGGTGTCAAATCTCCCGCGGGTGACGCAAGACACACGCGCATTGCTCGCGGAGGGCTGTGTCTTGTTGTTGATGAACGTCTTTTTCAATAATCGCCTTCCGTACAAACACCGCGCACGTATGTACATAATTTTTCGACGTTGGAGCCAACTCGAGCGGACAACAACTTGCCCGCGAAAATCAGTCTTCTTTAATGCATATGAATACTTGTGATGATGGCAGAATTACAATGTTGTTGTTGTCTTCACATTTAAAACCATCCCGGTCTCTCTATCCAGTACCTCCTCCTGTCTCAATCTCTCCGTACTAATCCAGCACTTGACCCGGTCAATTTCCGTGGTCACAGGCTAACGTACCTAGAAGAGGGATACCAAAATAAAATGGACCCCAAGGGTTAGCAGAGCGATAAAATACAAGAAAACAAAAGAATCAGAAACAAATAATAACTCAATAGTGGAACGTGCGCACCACCAGCCTGGGGGGTAGCCTTCCGGAAGGACCCCAAGGGTCAGCAGTACGTGCCAGTAAAAAAACAAAACAAAATAACACGAAATAAACCAAAGACAGACGAGGACATTAACAAACTCGCACAGAGACAGGGATATCCGTAGAGACAGTCTGAACGCGACAGCAAACGGGGGAGAGGGCAACAGAACAACTAGTCGCTGAAATTCAACCGCAACATGTCACGTCAAGCGGTCGGTCTCTTCTCGCTTGCTTTTTTCCCGCGCCGTTTCCTCCCGCCCCCCTCCCGCCCCGTTGATTGGTGCCGTATCTAGACTATTTTTGGGCCCGCTGTCTCCTCGTTTGATGGGTCGTTGTCGGCTGGCCTTTGCCTCGCCCTTGTGCCAAGAGGCCATAAACCTCTCAGCTCCCTGTAGCACCCCCGCGTGCCACGGTACCCCCCCCTCCACCTTCGCCGCCTCGTCCCAGTCTGGCTTCGGGATTCCGAAGAAGCTCCGCTTGTC